GTTTACCACTTCCCACCACCATCTAACATTAGTCAAATCCAAGAGCTTTGATTCCAAGTGTTGGGTGTTGCTAACTTCACCAACCACATGTGGGGAACTCTCTCTTCATGTCATTTTGAGTCCCAAAGTTTCTTTGATTTTGAGAAATGGTACCAAAAAGTGATCTTATTTCTTGAGATGTCTTGTTGAAGATGTCACAGTCACTTGGAGCATCAATCATCCTCTGATCTTTTTCATTCATACCCGCATAAAATTGTTTAAGAAGTAGTTGTTCGGGTATGTTATGTTGAGGACAACTTGTACACAAGTTGTTGAATCGCTCCCAGAAATCATGAAAAGTCACATTCTCCCCTTGAAGAATCCCCAACATGTCACTATTTTGACTTGATATTCAGGAAGTGGGATAGAACTTGCTATTGAAGGCTTTGAGTAACTTTTCCCATGTGTGAATAGATCCCGGTGGTAAGTTGAATAACCACTCTCTAGCTTTATCTTCCAAGGTGAGTGGGAAGGCGGTTAGCTTGAAATCATCCAATGTCACATGTTCAGGAAACATGCTAACACATATCATATGAAAGGGCTTCAAATGCCTTTGAGGATCTTATTTACACAAACCATAGAACTTGGTTAGTTAATGTATGAAACTTGACTTCAATTCAATCCCTTGGCGGGTTTCAGGATAAACGGTACCAAGAGGTGTATGAGTAACATCCGTCTCCATCATTTGTCTAAGTGTCAACTCTTGAGGGGGATTGGGTAGATTGGGGTTATTCGGATATTGTTGCATGTAATTGGGAGTTTGTTGGTAAGGTGGGTATGGGTATTGTTAGTGATTGTACATTTGTGGTGGATAAGGTTGGTAGTTAGGATATTGGTTTTAGGGAGGTTGTTGTGGTGGGTACATAGGGTATTGGTACATTGGAGGTTCTAAGTAAATTCAATGATTCAATGCTAAACCAAAGAAATAAACCAACAATTATTCATTCAAGTACCAAGCTCATGATCAAAGTATTAAACAAGCATAAGAAATATGAACTAGAATCATAAACATAAGATAAATGACAATCAAACATGAATCCTTCAAAACCCATAAATATCCAAGGGTTTTAGCCAAAGTTAACCAAAATAAAGAAACTAGCCACTCATGGCAGCAAGATAACAATCACAAAAGTGTTTTTGCATCAAGAAACTAACAATTACTAGAAAGATGATAAGAATGTTGATCAAGCTCTCCAAAATCACCTTCAAGGTGCTCTAATGGTGGAAAATCGAAGTGTGGCTGCCAAACCTAACCCCCCAAGGTAAATGGTGAGCAAATGACCAAAATTCCCAAAAGTGTGCAGTTGCGCAGGTACCCTTGCCGATTTGTGTGACGGAGACTCTACCCTCACAAATGATGATGGCATGTTATTGGTTGTTTTTCTCCACTACACCACCCCACTACTCAAGATTTCCTTGGTTCCCTCCACACCTCATATGATTCAAATTTGGCCAATCATCTTCAAGCTTCAAATGTGGATAGTACAAGCCCAAAATAAGAATCCAAGACCCATCTTCATAAGCCCACTTCATCCAAGTCTTCAACATTTTTAAGCCCAAATCTTCTTTGATGGATCCGTAGAGCCCAATGACGCCTCTAAAGCCCACAAAGCTCATCTCCAAGCTAATCCACAACCGCAACGAGCTCCAAGACCCTGCAAAATACCTCATGCAAAATAGAAAGTACCCGACACGATCAATGATAAAGAAAATAAAGAATATGCAATGTAATATTTATAAAAAGGGCTAAAAATCTAAAATAAACTATAAAAAAGAATGAAATAAAATAAAATATCAGTATTCAAGCTGAAATATGTGAAATGACATAAAAAGAAATATTGAAGATTGAGTGTTTTTTATAATTAATAAATGATGTCGTGTGTTTCCATATTTAAAGGATTACTCGGCACATAAAGTTGCACCCAGTAGCACTCCTTGCATATTTCTTGGCTACAACACAAGTTACAAAGGCTACCGTTGTTTGGATCCACTACAGACCGCATTTACATCACATGTCATGCTCAATTTGATAAACATGATTTTTCATTCTTTTGAAACTCGCCATCATTTGATATCTCTACACTTTTATATACACCATTTGATGAGTGTTCGGAATCAACAGGCCGGTTATGGGTAGGGGCAAGTGGGGCATGTGTCCAGGGCCCATTTTTATGAGGGGCCCAATTTTTTTTAATATTATATTCAGCAATCAATAATTAGGCCCAGATGCAAAGGAATGAAGATAGTCTGTTAAGAGATTTGTAGTCCAATAGATTGACTTATCCCTAGTACAATTTACAAGTAGATTAAGAAAACCAGTTTTGATAAAAGTCAACAAAGAAAATGTCTATCAAGTTTATTGTCTTGTTTAACATCACAAACGACTCAAATCTCTACTCTTATAGACATTGAACCCTACTAAACCAAGAATATATCCAAATTTCAACCCCACATTAACATGAAACTAAAGTGAAGAACATACATCCATCCTCATATATGTATCAAGCTAAACACATGATTTAAATACACCCTAAACATATAAATAGATAACTTAATCAAACTCTACTCTTATAGACATTGAACCATACCAAGGGCCTTTTTTTGGCTCGTCCTGGGCATTTGATTTCTCAGGACCGGCCCTGGGGATCAAACACATCATCAACTACTCCAACAACCACCGCACAAGCTTCGCCTCCACCTGATTGTGACATGTTCCCAGCTACTGATCATCGACTGTTCGAAGCTTCCACCATCGTCGTTGATGTTCCCATCGACCCACCGGTCGCACCGTCGGCATCTCATTTGTTGGCAGACCCCACTCCCACTAATCAAATGATCACATGATCATGAGCTGGCATTTTTAAACCCAAACATCTACCTAACTTGGCTTCTCTTGGTACTAAAAAATTATTTCATGCCTTTTTCACCTCCATGCTTCCTGAGAGTTTTACATCCGCTACAAAACACCCACATTGGTTAAGGGCAATGGAGGATGAAATGTCAGCATTACGGGCCAATGAGATGTGGGATTTAGTCCCTCGTCCCACAAATTCGATTGTTGTTGTATCCAAATGGATATTTCATACGAAGTTTCATTCCAATGGCTCGATTGAACGGTAATAAAGCACGGTTAGTAGCCCAAAATTTCACCGAGGTCCTTGGACTTGACTCTCATACTTTCAGCCGCGTTGTTAAAGCTTCAACCGTTCGTATTGTAATATCTCTTGATGTCATGCAAAGATGGCCCTTGCATAAACATTTATTAATTTTTTATTACACACATATCTAGTCTCCCCAATATTTTATAGGCAACGTGTTCCTCATTCCAACTTTATATTAGTCTCCCCAATTTTTTAAAGGTGGCAAGTTTCTCATGTAGCATTCCAACTACTCGTTTGTATTTTAGTGTGCAGACATATCAAGAAACTGCATGCATTTTTTCAAGAGAGTGATAAATTCTTTAGTAATTGTACTTGTTATGAATTCGTGGTAAATGAAGAAAACTTGGGAAAAGTTTGAACTGAATGCATAGATATAAAATGTGTTTATGGTCTACGAATCAGATAGTTAGTAAATATGGTTATGATTTAAAAACAAGCATTTACACGCCGAACTTGACTAAATGTTGATTCTATGCGTATTCCGTTTGATTCTATTGACATCTTTGCACATACTAATTTATGATTGTTTAGATTTTTACATGCTAAATGTCATAAACATCATTATAGTTTGTTTTCTTTTTCTTATTTAACCACTGATTGATTTTTTTTCTGCTTTAACCATTTAGATTAGTTTTTATTTATTTATTTATTTATGTTAGAAAAATGGGGTATAGAAAGGCTTGGAATTCTGAGAATTGTGTTAAACACTTTCAGATTAAAGCATTTGGGTGGTACTCCCAATATTCTTTAATCGGATAAGACTCAGAGAGACAAAAACTTAGAATGTTTTGAAGATAGTTTCGTATGTACCAGAAATGAGACCAAAACCGACTATATGATCTTTGTCTGAAAACTGTCATATGACAGTTTCAAACTGTCATAAAACTATAAAAAAAACTGTCATAAAAACGGAAGTTTGGACAAGGGTCAAACAATGGTCAATTCTCTGAAAATCCGATTTTCGACCCCAGCCAGGGGCTCTGCCCCTTGGACCCCGCTCACAGGGGCGCTGCCCCCGGACCCCCGTTCGTTTAGGGGCTTCGCCCCTAAATGACAATGTACTTTGAAACTTGATCAAACTTAAACAAGTGTGTACTCCACACCTTCCTTACTTGTTTAATATTTATCAAGATCTCTTTTGGTCAACAAAGTAATCCCATTACACTTAAATAATATTAATGATAACAAATCACCAACAATTTATGTTTTACATTGTAAGAGTTTCTCGGTAAAGAATCTAGTAAAAACATCGAAATAATGTTTTTATTTAGTTTAATGGTTAAATCATAACAAAATCCGTCGTACATGATTAACCACACAATTTCAAAATATAATGTTTTTTTATAAAATTCAAAAAATTACATAGTAGTTTTGTAAAACGATAATCAAAGTCTCAGTTATTGAACAAACACTACTACAAAAAGGAGCATTACCGACGGCCAAAACCGTCGGTAATCCGTCGCTAATGCTACCGACGGAATTGTAACAAACCAAAATCCGTTGGTATATTCTTGTCGCTAATTATTTGTAACGGATTTCCGACAGCTATGGCTAACTTTTAGTAACGGATTTTCCCGTCGGAAATAGTAACGGATCACCAACAGAATATATTTTGCAACGGATTACCGATGTAACTTGTTTGCAACGGATTACCGACGGAAAAATGTACTAACGGATTACCAACGGAATCTGAAATAACTTACTAACAGATTACCGACGAAATCTCGAAATGACTACAAATTTTTTTTGTAACAGATTAGCGACGGATTTTGGCATTATAAAAAAATTTTACAAATTAATGAAGAAATTAAAAACTAAAAATAATTACATGTTCAACATAAATTTTTTAAAATACATAAAATCTACATTTTAAAACCAACAAACATAAAATTAAATCCACAAATTTCAATCATTTGACATACATTAAATCTATAAATTTCAATCCATATCGTCAAATATCATAAATTTCAATCCATATCGTCAAATATTGTCGACAACCAATAGAGCATTCCTTCTTGATTAGCTCGTGGATTCCACACCTATCATTGAGAGTTGTTATCTAGAGAGATATTTATATATTGTCAAAATACCATAAATGCCCTCAAATATTACCTTTTATCTTCCGGTGAATTGCTTCAAAAGATCATTCATTTTTCCAAGAAGACGGCTTTCCATGTCCTCTCGTAACTTCACCTCACTATCAAAATTGGCTCTCTAATTCATTTATCTAAAATATGGTGCAACATATAATTAGTATAAAATAGAGAAGGAAATAGCAACATACTTTACTATTTTTATCATAATATAGACACATACCTTCCTTTGAGATAAGGCATAATCATGGGATGATGAGCCACACTCGTAAGGCACAATCACACTTCCTTTGAGTACTGAATAAATTGCGCCAGGTCATAGCACGCAACCGCAAGCGCCCGTGGGTCCCCGGAAGTTTCCAGAATAGTCAGCAGCACACAAAGTGTCTTATATAGTAGTTAAAAAAACGATTCGTTAATTAAATTATCCAAGAATAATAATTGAAAAAGATTAAATAAATAAAAAACCTGGAAATCATTTTCTTCAAAGTTTGTGCATTGGAGACCAGTCGAGGTGACCTTCTTTATGTTGTCTTTCAGACCTTCTTCCAGATTATTTAAAGCCTCCAACAGATCCTACGATTATAATAATCTAATCGTTCAAAAGTAGTTATTAGTAGACCGTTTTGGTCCTTCAAGTTTCAATGTTATGCATTTTTAGTTATATCAATTAAATTTCTGACCTCATCACTCCATGCTTGAGCTTTCAAGATTTGAAGTTTGAACAATTTGTGGAAGTCCAAGATCCACCATTTGAGCTCCAAAGCTTCCTTTTGACAGCAAGTTCTTGAAAGTCAACACTATCAACCTCACAACCTGAGAATTTAATAATTAATTAATTAATTAGGATTTCAAATAAAATATATGGAAGGGTAAAGTTAAGGGGTAGTAGAACCTTTTCTTTGGTTGAACCTTTGACCACTTCCAACAATCTTGGAAGGGCTCTAGATGTAGCCAAGTATTCAATTGCAGGCTCATAGTATGACAGAAGCCAAACACACAGGCATGTTTCATACAGAAGCTGTTTGTTTAATCACAAAACACAAGTCAGTAATTGGAATTCATGATTCCATTCCATTCTGGAATTGGATTCAAGATTCCATTCCATATGGACCCAATTCCATGGTTGATAAATTTCGCTATTATGAAGAATGGTGGAAGGAGTTCGATTTCGTTCTTTGGTTTTTATTAAAAGACCAAAATACCCTTGTAGGTTACCTGAATTGACTGTTGAGTGGATGCTGGAGAAATTAGTGTGACAAGAAGTTTGACTCCATCTGCTTGAACAAATGAACACCTAACAACAGGCTCCTTCAACAAAGTTGCTAAGCAGTTGACTGGAGCTGGAATGCTACGTGTAGGATGTGAAGGCTTCTTCAGCTGTAAAAGTAATCCAGAACTATTTCAAAAAAAATTTAACTGTTTTTCTACTTATAGACATTATAATATAGTTCATAACAAACCCGAATACAAAGCCATTCCACCAATCCTTTCAAAACATCATCACTTGCAGTGATTTTCTTCTTTGAATACGTGGCCTTTCCATTTGCATTCAGACCATTCTGCTTTGGCCTAGCACTATATAAAAGAAAATAGAAATTAATATGATTTAAATGAATAACATTTAATAAACAAACCCTTTTGTAATTTGTATTGTGAGTGTTTATTTAGGTACCTCACTATAGAAGTGAGTACCTTGGAGCTCTTCTCTTGTATAAACCAGCTACCTTTCCATAACAATATGTAGTGCAGACCTAGCTAACGTGACCATGAAAAAGCTGATATCATTTATCATCTGTTTGATCAATTCAAGGCGTATATTGATAATCTTAAAGAAGAAAAGAAGAAAGAAGCTGCTGAAGATGCCGTGTTTCCATGTGTTCTTAAAATCATGCCCAATTGTGTGTTCAACAAGAAGGATCCTACTATTCTTGGTGTCGATGTTCTTGAGGGCATTGCTAAGGTAATTTCTGTTGCTATAACTGAGTAGATTTTTCAAAGTAGAAAAGCAATTGAAAGTACTTATACTTATACATTTCATTAAAATTAAAAAAATGAGAATTTAATAAGTTATGGAGAGAAAGTTTGAGCCAAAGAAACAGACCATCTTTATATAAACAACACTTTATCCAGACAGACATCTTTACTCATTCCACCTGTATAGGACTTAACGGGGGAAAAAGAAACAGACCCTAATACTTGAATTCAGTAATTCGCAAACAGATCCTATCATGTCTGGTAGTGGTGGCTCACTCGGACTTTCTGAAGGTATGCAGGGGTATTTTGGGAACCCTGGTTCAATTCCAGCTATGGAAATTGCAAAATTGATGCAGCTTGAAAGGCAAAAATCTATGTCTAGTCCTATATTGTATTGTTAATATGTTAAGTAAAAAATGGCTGCTTTAAGAGTTCAGACATCCTATATTCTAACAACACTATGATTAAGTAACTATTATGTTGTAATATTAAGATCAGATAAACAGTGATTAATTATAACAAGCTTTAAATAAACAGTTTTATGAAGAGTATAAGACTATTTATCAACAAAATCTAATTGATAGGTTATCTAATGCTAATTGGAGATATGAATATGATAATCCAATGAAGAAAAAATATAAACCTAAAAATCAATCGATGTAATAGAAAAAATAAGTTAGGGTTTTTTTTTACCATAACTTGGAGAGACAAAAAGCTGAAATCGGATCCAATTGTAAGGTCCACCAGGTGCAGCAGCAACTTCGACGGTGGTGGCGGCGGCAATAGACTAAGGCGAGGCTGGCCGTCGTTCGCAGAGAGATAAATGGTGGAAATTTTACTCCGTTAAGAGGCGGTGGGTTGCAGGTCAGACCAACAGTTGGAGGGAGAAAGTATGTTGTGTCGCAGACTTGGAGGAGCCGGAGGGATTTGCTGCCGGCGGTGATGGCGGATGCAGTGGCCGGATGGTTGAAGATCGGAGATGAGTGGGAGGAGTTTTTTGTTCACGTGAACTGGAAGGAGAAGAGGGGAAGCGAGAGTAGGGCAACACGTTCTGTTTTTAGTTTCAGTCACATTTACTGAATTGTCCTCGATATTTAAAAAAATAAAAAAAGAAAATCGAATTTCACTAACGGATTTCCGACGGAATTTCAATTTTGTTGATTTCCGTCGGTAAACCGTCGGTATACTGTAACGGATTACCGACCAATTTTATTCCGTTGCTAAACCGTCGTAAAACGTCGCTAATATCCAATAATTTGTCTGTCGGAAATCCGTCTCTTTTTCCGACGGATTTTTTCCGTCACTAAAATTCTGTCGCTATTGCTCTGTTTTCTAGCAGTGAAAAAATAATTAATGGTTAAACAAAAAAAATCTAAATTATAATGATTTTTAAAGAATTTGGCCGATGGGCATATACTTTAATCCTTAATATATCTCGCCAATTAAATCAAAAGGAAATTATGATTCTTATATTTTCGTTTTTAACATATTTGTTTATACTGAAAATGTCAATATTTACTTATAAAATCGAGTACTTCTTACAAAATAACATAAGAAAAATAAATAAATATATAAAGATACAAGGGTAAACCCTTGTAAAAAAAAAAAGTTTGGTTGATTAAAAAAATCATGACACCTTGTTTTTACAGTTAAATATAAAAAAAAAAAATCTATCAAAGCCAGCCTGCTAAAAAAATCATCAAATTTATATTTTTTTTTCTAATTTATCCACAATAACAACTTTTTGGTAGTAGGTGGTATTTTTTTGGAAAAAGTTGTTAAACTTTTAAAAGTTGTCAACGGTGTTGGTATTTTGCTATTTGTTTTTTTGTTATTATTATTATTATTTTTTTTTTTTCTAAAATTGCTCATTGTTCTCGCAATAACATTTTTTTCTCTAATTTGACAAAATATCATCACAATTCACGTCCTTCTCTTGATTCTTTATCTTTTCATCGTTGGAGATAAATTGCAGGTTAACACTTCTTCAACGTCGTAGCTTCATAAACAAATAAATTCAAACGAATTGCAAACATAATTTGTATTTCACCATTAAGTAAAGATAGGGTACTCTTATTAATAACTATACCTAAAGGCTTAGCCGATAAACAAAAAATATGTAATAACTTAATTCCAAAATAAAGCATACTTCTCCTATCAACATGCATATAACATACATAACAATCATATATGACTAACATTAAAAAAAAATCATAATAATTTGAATGCAACCAAAACCATAATGGATATTTTAACTCAAGAGGATGTAGCAAGTGAAATGACAATTAAGTCGACGTTTAATTTAGTGAGATTGTAGAAAGGCGATGTAGCAAATGAAATAACAATTAAGTCAGTGAGATTGTAGAAGGATTAAATGTAATCTTTTAAATCCTTTTTTTTTTTTTTTTTGTTTTAAACTTTTATTAAAAACAAATAGCAAAATATTGAAATTACTTTGTTTGATTAGTTAATCTTGCAAATACAAAGCTTAATGAAAATAAACATCATAATAAAACTTTTGAACTCACAAAGATCGAAAGTAATTAGTTTGATTAGTAAATTTATTTGCCAAACTTAAAATATCGTCTTTAAATAAATAAATAAATAAATAATAATAATAATAATAAATTGTTTCCTTTATTTAATCTCTCTAGCCTTCATTCTAGGTTTGTCACTCAACACTCTAATAGTCTAATGTAATGTTTGACAATCCAAATAGTATTCACCAATCACCAATGTAGCATGTGTGGACTTGGAAATGAAAGTAAGATTTTCATCAAGTCATTTAATTTGGTGAGGCCTTTCTTTGTTCATCTATGAGCCCAAAATTTAAAGGGACAACTATCACCTTTTCTTGTTCCCAATCCCACCACATTTCACTTGTAGCCTTTGTGTAGAAGATTTTAGAATCCTAGGTGGACAACCTACATTACACTTTCTCTAAGTCCTTCATTATCAGAAATGTCATCCTCATTATTTGATGATTCTTCAATTTTTTATGTGGTAACAGAGAGATTGCATAATTGTTCATTATCAGAAAGGCATCATGTCCAACCTTTAATTCCTGAGCACTAAATTGTTCATCTTTGCCGTTGTCATCCAATTCATCATCCATCACAAATGGTATGAAGAAACTTCGAGGTCCTTTTCAGTTTGGATCTAGCTTTTGAGCCAAGCAAATTAAGGACTAACTTTCGTCTTGATTTTGGGAAAACATAACGTTACAAAACGATCTTATGACAATCTGTAGAGTATTAAGGATTGATTCATCAATCTTTCTCATCATTATAAATCTCAGACCACAAAATATCAACTGGACTATCTTAATGCGATCCAACCAAAACATAACTATGTCACTTTACACAAAAAAAATAAACCCAAAAACAGAAGCAATATGTATAAGAACACTGAGATAGAACAAGAAAAGACAACATCATCTCTCAACCAGAACGTGAACTATCAGCAAAAGATTGATCACGAGACAGTTCACCGGGGCTCCGTGAATTAAACAAATTTGGATACGACATAAACCCATCCTCCATTGATGTCAACCTCTGTGGCTGATGATGAGAAGAACTCAAGGATTCTTGAGAACTCAAAGAACCATAAACACCATTTTCATTTTCATCTTTAATCGAGTCTTGATGGCTGAGATTTCGGTTCTCCTCCGGTGTATGAGGGTGATGATTGTCGCCGGAAAACGGGTTCTCAGGGGACTCGAGTTCGTTCTGTTTCTTCATGAGTTCACTGATTCGGAGATGGGCAAGGCTTGCGGCGGCACGAGCGGCGGCTGCCGCCCGTTCGGCGCTTTCGGCGGCTGCCATAGCGGCGGCCAATACATCCTGTAAATCGTCATGGACACCGGGTTTGATCGTCGGAAGTGGGCGGGTTTCTTTTGGTACAGTGGTCTGAAACTCATCATTCATGGTGGTTTTGGTGACGAGAGACGGGCCGATTTCTTTCACTGTGGTGGTGGCTGATGGCGGAGATATGAACGGAAGAAACTGCTTATGGTGGGATTCCGGCGGTGTTTCTGATTCGTTGTTGTTGAGGTCGGATAATGCGGACTCTGGAAACGGAAGCATTTCGGGTCTGGAATCGAATTCCGGAGGAGCAGAAGAAGGTTGTATGGAGGAATTGGGGACCTCGGGAAAATCTAAAATGTCAAATTCCTGATCAGAGTCTGACTCTTCATTATGGGTTTCTTCTTGTGGTTCTTCATGTTTTTCTTCTGGAAGAGGCAATTTTGTAGTGGCAAGTTGTGAGGGGCCATTCTGCAAAAAAAAATGTAAAATTGTTGACAGTTGTCGATTTGTAAAAGTTAGAAATTGAGTCAAGAAAAAGAGGGTTTTCCTTTTTGACTTGATGCAGGAAAAAAAAAACGACTTAATTGAGAAAGTGAAACTGCTAACCAGCAAATCTTCATGTGGCTTGAGCAATTCAGTTTCAGATGCAGTAGGATCCCAATCAAGCTCATGCTCCTCTGCAATTTCCTTCAACAGATTGAGCTTTACATCCGGAGGTGGAGCACGAACAGATAGGTGTTCGATCAACTGCAATATCAAATCAAGAAAAAGGGTAAAAAAGTAATTAGCCACCATCTTCAATCAGGCACATTTTGTTCTCTAATTCCCTATTAAGGCATTGTACAATGAAAGATCTATCCAACTATTTGGACAATGTAGTTTGAAAAATCTACACAATCATAAACTTGCTTTGTATTTTGATGGCATTGTTATAAATATAATTGGTGGAATTTTCAAACTACAATCTTTTTATAGAAAGAAAAGAAAGTAGAGTGTTATAAGTGCATTGCTACTTTTTGCATTTAACCAAAAAAAGAATGCAACACTTCTTTTTAATTGATCCCAAACTATAAGTCCAGCATTAGCCTTCATAGTAAATTAGATCAAATCCAAGAAATCAAAATAATATTCAAAGCATTGATTTCAAGCTAGAAGATTCCTCCAATTTATCATTATAGAGGTCATTTTAGAATAGTCAAACACTCCCTAAAAATAATAAAGAAACAGTTAAGTTTTATGACCTGGCGGTTGACACCACACTCTGGCAAGAGTTCAGTGGCAGCAATAACAAATTCTTTGCCATATTTACCAGCAAAAGCCATCTGAACTTGGATCAGCTCAGGAAGATCTGCACATCTTGGAGCAGCAAAACAGAGACTTGAAATCGCCTCTTTCAGATCAAGAGGACATTCCCTGTATTGTATGTAGGACAAGATTCCATAAAATTAGATAATCAGGAAAATTGATAATATTAACAAGAACTAACATTTCTTGATAGCACATCAAGAAATCTGACCTATTAACTGTTTTTGGCATTCAAATCATCATATCATAACTTTCACACTTGTAGTTCATGAAAGCATTCTCAATAGAAGGCTTAATTAAAGGGGAAAAAAACAAAATGACCAAGAATCTAAATTGAATCATTAAGAGAGAATCAAACATACTTTTGAGTTTCAATAATTGGAAGACGAACAACCACAAGCTCACAAAATAACTCGATGATTTCTTGAGCTGCCATCATTTTTTCTTCCCTTATAATATGCTCCACCTAAATAAGACACATTAACCATAGATCCATGAAAATGTACTATATGAAATACAAAGCAAATCATATGTTTTTCTTCTCATGGAAACAGCTACATGAATGAAAAATAATATCAATACAAAGAAACAAAGGGATTATACTCTGATTCGAGCAGTGGCTTCTTGACCAGTCTCAAGAAGTTTGGCAATGTCACGACGCATCTGCTTTATATGAATCTCTCTACGATTCCTCAGCAGTTTTATGCGTGGGATCGTCAGTTTCAGAAGTGTTTTACTGCATTCAACAATATGAAACCAAAATTATTTAAACATCGAGACAGAAGAAGACCAAAAACATACAGAGTCGCGTTCTCATCCAAGAAAAATCAATGTTTGAGCGACCTAAGTCGTGTTAATGAAATATCATCCATCCATAAAAGAAAATATACTCTGATTTTGGTACAACAATAATGATCACATAAATTTCAATAGAAATCAACAAGAATAAGAGAAATCCGGATATAAACAGTGACTAAAACTTGAAAAATGGAACAACTAGATAATGTTTCGAGTGAATTCTGTAGAAATTAAATACCATTTTGAACCCTTGAACGCCCCCTTGCTGAAGAAAGAATCAAGCATCGACATCTTGAATTCGCCTCCCGATCTTCCGATTACAGTTATATATGTGCACTGGATTGTCTGATTAAAAAAGAGCAAAGGGGTTATCAAAGAAAACAGGATCAACTAAAAAATATGATTTACTAGTCCTATGTGTCGTACACACACACCCACTCCACTATGAACGAATTATACGCGTCTACAGATATATCATCATCAAAGGTGGAATTTCGTTTCCTTACTTAAGATGGAAGAAATTGTTTACTTCTTCGTAGATTCGTATCGCGAAGCTTTTATGGTAAAATTGAGATATTGGGGATATTTGATTTCTCACCTTCAAACTTGCTTGGATGGAGAAGCCCGTCGACGCAATTTAATTAAGAAAATTACATTTGCACCCCTCAGATTTCATATACAGTCTATTTCAGCCTTAAAGTCTAAGTTGAATTTGAGATTACAGTCCATTTCAGCCTTAAAGTCTAAAGTGAATTTGATCTGAATATCTGATAGCTAAAGGAGTCTGTTATTATAAAGGTGTTAAGAAATCCGGGTAGGACACAAAGTTCGGTAAAAGAATATGGATATTTAATGGATCGTATGTGTTTATTTTCTGTGATTAATATTTCGATCTTATATGCATAGGTTGTATAAAATTTAATCATGTGATAATCCACCAAAGACACTTTCTATTGCAGGCTTAAAAAGAAATCAATCTTACAAGAGAATAGATGGAATGCTCGATCACGTGAGTGAGCCAAAAATAGTGAAATATGAGTCTATATAATTATGTAACCGGAATTTGGATAACAACCAACAAGTAATTGTTTTGGGAAGCTATTAGTGGTCATCAGAAAAGTACAACCGTTTTTCAGAATTTTTGTTGCATAAACAAGATCATGCATCTGCATCTGACACCACAAAAAACATTGACATACTTTTGAGTGGTATTGTAGTAAATAGTAATAGATATACATCAGGATTTTCACTTGGAATTTATTTTTGTTATTTTCCGAAAATTTATCATTTTCATTTGTTTTTCAGATATCATTTTACTTTGAATTCTATTCGTATCCAATACACAACTTTCTTCATCTCTATAGTTGTGAGAAGCTTCTGCAACCATTGATACTCTAGCTCTTGACAAAAAAGAAAATTCAAAATCATATTTCTCTATATAAGGACCATGATCAATTCGATGAGATGATATATATTTAAATTACGCAATAAAAAAAGTAAAAGTACAGTATTAGATGAACTGTTAGTCATCTATATCCGAATATTGATGTTCCCATCAACAATATCATCAAAGAAACATTCCACCATTTTTACAAGACATAACTCGATTTAAATCTCGAGTTTATCATCAACAATTACAGTATGCTAATGTGAAAAACATAAGCTAAACCCATTTATCCCCAATCTCATCAATGAAATCTAAGGTACACAAAATGGTAAACAATTGTGAAGGAAACCTCCATTATAAGCTTGTTGCAGCTTTTCCAAATAATTTTCCTTAGTTAACCTATACCCACACAGTGATCAAAGAAGGAAAACCCTAACAATGTAAGATTCAACACTGCTATCATCTCATAATCAAAATCAAATGAAAGGAAAGAACAACAACTATAAGAAATGCATAATGAATCAGCTGAAATTGTAAGATTCAAAAATAAGATCTTCTTCTACTATGGTTTCAAAATTTTGGTAAAAGTGTCATACATATGATCAGGGATCTCTTCCTTATGACGCTCCACAACCTGCTTCACAAAATCTACATTAGATAAGCACAACATGGAATGAAACTCCTTGTTCACCCCTTTCTCTTTCAAAACCATATACACTTGATACCTCGGTTTCACCCTTTTCTCCAAACTATACATCAAAAGACTACCACGAGTGGCCAACCATGAAGGTGTGTAACCAAGTTCTTTCATGAAGAAATCCAACCCTTTACTTAATCTCTCCTCAGAATGTGTAAAACAAATCGGTTGACTCTTAGCAATGATACAGATATCTGAATCACACCACCCGAAACTCTTAAACACCTCAAATTTCTTCTGCAAATTCAACTGATTCATGGAACAAACAGCAGAAAGCCCATAAGAAAACATCTTTGAACGTGGGGTAATCCCAAACTCCCTTTCCACTTCAAGAAGTTTCGCTTCTACCCTCACAGGGCTCTGAGTAACCAATCTAGGGTTCCTAATTATAACCCTCTCGATGTCCTTGATGGAAACCCCGTGTTTTTCCAGTAATAACACATTGCTTCTGAAGAACTTCCCATAGAAAGGCCAATGTGATCGTTTTATAGCTTTAACAATTTTTTCTTTACTGCCCAAAATTCTTCTTAAAAGATTGATAGCCGGTATGATAGATGTATGTAAACCTCTAACTAAAAGATTCGGATCCTTTTTAATGACAGCTACCAGATCCGGTCCCGAAAACCCGATTTCAAAAAGAATCTTAAATTTGGGTTCTAGGGTTTTATCAACTTTCCGTAATAGAATTTGGGGATGGGAGAGAACTACGGATTTAATGTCAGTTTCGGATAAATTGTAGTTTCTAAGGAACTCGATGACGGATTGGGAGTTCTGGGTGGACTTTAAGTGGCGTACCTTTGTAGAGGCGGAGATGGCTTCTTGTTTGGTGAATCCGAGGGAATCGATGAGGTAATCCACCATGAAATGCGGTTGAAGATCGGTGGATGGAGAGGATGTTGTTGTTGAGCAGTGAAGGAGATTGAGGAAATAGGAAGATGAATTGACGAGAAATGTCTTGGAAAGTTGGCCATGGCTGCTGCGAACAGAAAACATTCGTCGAGACTGAGCCCCAAAAAGAAGGGCAAAGCTCGTAAAGATGTCTCAGTCACAATATAATGACATCGGAACGGCGACGGGACAATATAATCCGGTTCAGTTGTTTGTAAAGAAACCTATTTTCTAACACAATTTTTTTTTATAGATGATTACGTATAACAATCAAATATCCTAAATTTCTTGTTAAGTTAAGAAAGTTGGATGATGTTTAATCCTCTTCATGTTTACATGACCATCATAAAATCAACAAACTACTTTAAATATTCACAAAGGTTTGAAAATACTTGAAATTGAAATAATCAAAGATATATTTTTAGGCTTTACGTTATCCTGAGCTCACAATTTTAATTGTATTTCCTATTAAGTTTTATTGTAATTTCATTTTGAAATACATAACCGAGTCTGGCCGAGCTCGACCTTAAGCTTAAATTAAGAAGCCAAATAAGCCATGTCATTTCTTTAAACTTAAAAACATATATGATTCTCCTTCCCCCATTCTTTATTCATATTATCGTTTTCTTCTAATCCAGCAAAGCAAAAGAGAGCCTAGGACGAAACCTTCAACCTAAAATTCCAAATATTAGCCATCAACTAGAAAACCTTCTTCATTGTCATCTTATATTCTTGGAAGCTGAATCGACATATAACCTTTCATCTCGATACTACTGCCTGAATCCAATCAGAATGAGGACATTTGGATGATAAATATTTTGGGAGAAGATTTGTATATTGCCTCAATTCTTTGGTAAGTAACTTGATTCCCAATAAATTGAAGAAGAACATCTATTTCTTATAATCTATATGTACTCTTTTCATTATCTAGAATCCAAAGAAAGGATGTGAGTTCTTTGAATGGTTTGACTTGAACTTCCAAATAAATAGTATATAGAGGTTGAATTATGGCTTTATTGACTGATTTGTAACTACCATTTTAAAGAAATTTTGGACATAAGTTGATAGTTAGTTGTACAAATACTTTTAAGTTGTACAAGTACTTTTAATGTAATATTGACGATATTTTGTACGGATGTCATTATAATGTAATATCGCCACCAAAGGGTCTTGAGTTGACGGATAGGTGCCTCTCAGCCAAAATGTTGAGGGTTCTAGTCTCGCTGCGGATGAAAGGTGTAGATTTGGTAGTAGAATAATGTGTGCGTGTGTAAGTCATTCTTAAAAATAATAATAAATAAATAAATAAAAAGTAATATCGGCCATTTCAATGTCATTTATAGCATTATACTTACATTTTAATGTCATTCATAGTATTTTATCTTAAATTTGAATGTTAGGACCGTCAATTATAGTATCATACTTTTATTCATTTTAATGTGAATTATAGCATTTTTACTTTCATTTCAATGTGAGTTGTAGCATTTTACTTTCTTTTTAATGTCAATCATAGCATATTTCTTTCATAATATTTTCAATTACGTGTAATAGTCACATTTTAGTGCAAAGAGATTCAACCTCATTTTAAGAATTTTTGTCAGCTAAATGATTTAGTTTCATGCCTACAACATTTTTGCAATTTAGTTTCAAGGGGCATTTCTGTCAACACGCTCTCAAATCTAACATATCACTACTTAAACCAAATAGATTCAACCTGGTTTTGCGAATTTTTTACACCTCTATAAAAGTAAAATTTTAAAGCAATCTACTTTGATTTTAGGGCAAGTAGGACCTACTTTCAACAATTTATACCAATATACTTTATTTTTATAACAAAGTCAAACCTACATGTAACGTTTTATAGCAATATACTTTCTTTTTACAGAAAAGTCAAACCTACAGATACATTTTATAGCAATATATTTTCTTGTTTTTGTACTTTCAGCCACAAATTGACAGGTTTTTTAGCAGCATGAAGCATTAATAATGATAATACATTCTACTTACAACATATAAAAAGTTATAGCAGGTTGCTATAACACACAGGTCAGATAACAAATTTCAAAGTAACGTATAAATAGTTGCGACTAGAATTACATACAAAAGGTTGGCACCTAAATTATACAAAAAGAAATGACTAGTGTTTGCCAACAATACACCTAAAATATGTTTTAAACCACATGGTTATTTTGTCATTTTAAATTAGGGTTTTGAAAGAATGAACTCTAGTGAAAAGTAAAAAACGAGTAATGTGTCTTCTTCATAGATTTGTAAAAAAAAGTTGAGAATTTTATCATACTGGAATTGGAATATCTCCGATCTCAAGCTGTGCAGCAATTTCTTCCAATTGCTTCTTCACACTCATATCAATCAACTTGGATTGAGAATTTCCATATCTGATCGTGAATCCGGCCACCAATGACTCATCAATCGCCGTCTTAATCCTCACATTTCTCGCTCTGGTGAGTCTCTGCACTTGCTTTGCGATCTGCGCCAAGTGTTGCCTCTCCAGCTGCACTACAGAAGTCACGATCGCCAACTCCGTCTCCGTCAACTTATTGTAAACAATCTCGAATTCCTTTACTATCTCTTTAATCAAATCGATCCGATTTCTTTCGATCAAGATGTTGAGGAAGTTGCATACGTGTAGTTGGAGGCTCCCCGAAGATGTTATATCATCGATCAATTCTCGTTTTTGCTCTAGACTTACGATTGGACTAACGAAAAAGTTCAACACTTGTTTGTCGGAGAAGAGTTTATCGACCTTCTCGACGTCGGCGGCGGTTGCCTCTAGGGTTCCGTTTGATCTCGCGACCTCCGCCAAGGCAGATGCGTAGCTTCCGGCCGCGGAATCGGCCATTTTGGCACCGGTATAACCGCCGCCACGCCGGGATTTGTTTGTGGTTTTGGTTGTTAGCTTCGGGAGTCTTAGGCCGCCGGAGAACGAAAGATTTGCTGGATTAATGGAATTAGAACTTGGTGATCGAGACTGAAATGTGACCAAAGAATTTTGTAGAGCGGCAGTGGAAGGGGCGGCGGCGGCCATCTTTTCCGGCGAGGGGAGAAAAGGAGAGGCTCGTTAGTTGGGAGGGTTTTTTTTTTTTTGGTTTGTGATACAAGTACCTTAATTAATTTACCTCCTAACATCAATCAAATCAACTTTTTATTTTTTATTTGACATTATTTTTTTTTTCTCTTTTTTCCTTTCTGTTTTTTTATTTTTTTTCTTTTTATTTTATATTTTAATATTATTACTATTAAATTCGGATGACATTTTAAAAATTCGGTAAACGTTATAAATTCGCACGACATTATAAAATTCGAACAACTTTTTTGTCCGTAATTAAAAAATATAAAAAAATATTTAAAAACCGATTTTATATAACCGTTTGAATTTATAATGTCTTCCGAATGTTAAAATTTTGTGCGAAATTTATAATAATAATAATAATAATCAAAATATAATAATAATAATAATAATTAAAAAATAATTAAAAACAACAAAAAAACAAAATAGGAAAAAAAACAAAAAAAAAACAACAAAAGACAAAAAATCAAATCAAGGGGGTGGAATTGGAAAAGAAAATGGGGTACTTATAGAAAACCCCTTTTTTTGTGCAACCGAAGGTAGAGATTAGAAAGCGGAAGGTGATCAACGGTCGAGAACGGGGATTCGTGAACAAGGAGAAAGATTAGGCTTTTTATTGATATTTGATATTCAGGATTAAATTATGTACATGTCGGTTTTTGTTTGATAGTTGTAAATAGATTAGAAGTGACTGTCTGTGTTACTAAAACTTGTTGTTTGATTTTATATACGAATGATTATGTAAAATGATTTACCTCAAACAATATTTTTTATAATAATTTATTTATGATTTATCATTTAATTTATAACATTATATTTATAAAATATTTAAAAATAATTTACAAAATGGTGCTATAAATAATTTACAAAATGATGTAATTTACGATCATTCTTCAAAAAGATACATACAAGCACAAAGCAGTTTTCAATACAAAGAACCATTAATCCACAATAGACAATAGATATGTTTAAGGGTTCGTTGTGTGATTGAGAACTTCTTGGTTTCTTTGGGACACCATCAACCATATTTCACAACAAAGATGAATACTCCTTTCCTTTTTTCTCGTAATGTTGATCAAAGATGCTTAAATCTTGATGACCTTTGGTTGAAAATGAAGTCTCTTTCACACAACTTTGATCAAAGATTTGTAGTATAAATTTCGTAGGGATTTACAATAGCATATACAAACCATCACTTTGGTGTGCCAAGTGTTCCTAGTGGGACCCACCAATGAAATTGATGATCCGTGCTACCAAATATGTCAAGTTATGAAGTTATCTTAATATGAGAAAGCAAATACACGTATAATAATACGATATTATTTGATACTAGATTATATACCTTACAACATGAGCAAATTCTATTAAGAACATTGAAAAAGTAATAGCCAACAACAAAAGTTTTCCCTGTACAGACGTTAAAAGACCTCACACAATAGTTTGGAGCAACGAAATCCTTGCACAACAACATCAAAAAAAATCATGACCATAACAACAAAATAATGAACAAGAAAACGTGTAGAGCAAGAGCAAGTCAAGAAAATGAACAACAAAAAATCATTCATTCTCACCACCGAATGGTTTGGCTACAGAAATATCATATCCTATTTTTCTAATATAATAATGTAACATCCTGCTTCCTGTCGTTTCTTATTTCAGGGTCGTGGGCCGAAAGTCGATTGTGTAAAGGTTTTAGTCCTTAAGGAGACAAAGTTTAGTCCTTGTGGAATGAGGTAATGATGGTTAAGAGATTTAATGTAACGTCCCAAAAATAAGACCCAAAATTTTTATTTTTCAATTAATAAAACATTATCCCAAAACATCAACATAAATCTCAAAAAGATCAAATGTATCAAACATCACAAATTATCAGAGTTATCATGAAAATGCAGAACTATATCGTGTGTGCACTGCAATCACCCCCGAGCTCTTCCCTTTTGCACCAGAACTACCTGAAACATAAACTGAAAACCATAAACACGAAGCTTAGTGAGTTTCTGTGACATCCTCAAATTCACGGTCCTTTTAAAAATTTTATTTATGCTTATTTTGAAAATCAGAGTATTCATTTTAAAGAATAATATTGCGGATTTTGTTCCCCAAAAAAACATGACAATAATATTATCAAAGCATTTACGAAGAAATGTATTTTTGTTTATATTAAAACTTTGGGATGTCATCGTCAATACAGAAACATAAGCATAAACAGACATTACATTCATTTACACTAGTGATTTACATCTCCTTAAATCTCTTAGTGTAAAGTAGCTTCGTATTGACACTTGTGATACAATTAAACTGAGTGGGTCAGGTTGGGAAACCTGGTGAGTACATAGGGTTTTCAACCCACAATAATAAAGTTATTATGTTTCATCATCAAACAATTAACCCAAGTACCCATCCCCATTATCTTCTTTGTTTCTTAAGGGTGTTCCCTAAGAATCATCTATCATTCACCCATTCATTCCTAAGGATTGTCCTAAGGGATAGGCACGAAGTCCATCGCTGCTAGGGTTTATAAAACATACACTAAGTCCATAGCTGTCGAGGTTATTTGTTAGGCACTAAGTCGATAGTTGCCGAGGTTATTTGTTAGGCACTAAGTCCATAGCTGCCATGGTTTATCTCTTTTATTGACAGTGTTATTTTAGGTAGTCCAACCATAATACATGTCAATGGGTTTTTAGAGTACATCTGATGAACATATCGTTCACAACACCTATAGATTGCAAGTCTGCTAGTGTTCCACTGGACTGTCTAGAATAGTCTGTGGTTGTCATCTATACTCTGCTAGATGACTAGGCAATCGCTTGGGTCATCGTTTCTCATCATCTTCCACCTCTCATCATCTATATCATCTTTCATCTCTCATCATTCATCTCATATTTCATCTCTCATCTCATCTCTAATCTACCCATCTTTACCCATCATAATTATAGGTATAAACTACGTATACAGTTTAAATCGAATAAAGCATGTATATTTTGTTCATCCAACATAGATATCAAGAACACAGATAATATGCACACATAGCACGTAATTTATATTAAATACTTCATATCTATGTGTAAGATGAAAATAACCATACACTCACTTATTAAAGTGATGATTCCAAACTCGGGCAGCGCTTCGCTTCTAACGATTCTATTTCCCTTCGACGAAACCTAGCATTATTATTGCTAAGTTTTAGTCTAATATTTATTGCGACTAATTATCAGTCTAGATTCATCATTAACTCAAAGTCTACTTTCATGATCTATCAAGTAAGGAACAACCAGGTAGGATCATAGCAGAGGTATGGTCAATTTGGTATACGAAGTATACTGTTTGGAAATCCCACTTTAAACACCTCACTAAATCACAGCATAGACATCATCTACATAAGTAGATCAATCAGTATAACGACTTGGAATCACTGATAAATCTTGTTTATAGGTTCATAATAACGATAATAAACTTAAACATAAGTTATACTTAAAATACGATAAGCATAACTCAACTTACAGGGGGTTTTAGCGAGGAACCGGGCTCTGCGGGGGCAGAACTTCCGAGCCTAAAGCTCTTCTTCTCGGATCCTTCTAGCGCTCTGGGGCTTTCCTCTAGCAATCAGGAGTTACTAGGGCTTTGGGAGAGGTTACAGAGAAGTTAGAGAGAGAGAGAAAGGGTTATGGTGTGAGGAAAATGAGGTGCTCTCGCATCCTATTTATAGGCTGGAAAATGGCCAAACTTGTCCATTTTGAGCCTCTAACTCTTCGAGTTGGTGCCACATGTCACCATCTGGTGGCAAGGCGTGGGGAGAAAGCAATGGTCCAGATTAAGTCACGTCACCCATTTCGCAGCAGCACCCTTCCGACTTCTAAATTCCGTAACTTTCGCATACGAGCTCCGTTTTCAATGTTATTTATATCCACGTGTAGGTATTGACAAGATGTACAACTCTCCTTTTGACTCCATCGGCTAATTCTCGACTGATTTTAAATTTAACAGTATGAGAAAATTACATTGTTAACGACTGTGTAAAATTCATAACTTCTGCATACGGACTTCGTTTTCGACTATCTTTTTATCGTTGAGCTCCTATTAATGAGATCTTCAATTCTCATTTAGGTTGTGTCGGCTAAAAATCGATCGATATAAAATTCGAATTCCGGGTTGTGCACTACTATGCTAAATCTTAGAAAAATCATAACTTCCTCATACGAAGTCAGATTTGGACGTTCCTTTTATGCACGTTCTTGGTATAACGTATACTATGACTTTTGTTTAGATCTCTAAGGCTAAAAAGTAATTTATCAAAAATTCACTTTTTAAGTTATGCGGTGCCGTGCCGGTTTTGCTATAAAACTTCGATGAGTCATAACTTCTTCGTTATAACTCGGATTTCGGTGTTCTTTATATGTACAGAACCCTTGTGACATATACTATAACTTGGTTAAGATTATTTACTCTGAATAATCTTCCATAAAAAAGTCATTTTTAACGCTTATTGTCACTAAATTGACTAGCCCAAATCTGCGGGCGTTACAGTTTCCCCTAAATACCACATACCGCACATATCAAAAGTATAATGGGCCCTGCACGATTAGTGTAACGGGCCCCGCCCTAACTCGCATAATGGGACCCGCCCACTGAGTATAACAGGCCTCGCCCTAACTCTCACAACGGGCCCCACCCAACATACAAACATACAAATAAAACAAGTAATGACATACAAATTATCCATTGGGCCTTCGACCTGCTAAACACAGTGAGGAAGACTCACATCAGACTGCTGAATCTCACAGATCAGTCTCTAGCTGTTGGCCCGACAATCCTCGCACTATCATCATAGATAACATCCAATTAATAACTGGGTTCCAATCCATAATCACCAGTCTAAATTAGGGTAAAAATACCATTTTACCATTTACCTAGCTTGGTCCAAGACCAAGGCCCAAACTAACTACACTAAAAGGCCC